AAAAAAACACTGCACCATATATTTGTTCCCAAAAATGATCCATTATCATCCAAATCCATCACCTCCCGTCTCCTCCATTTTATCTGGATCTGTCAGAGATTAATTCCTGTTCAAGGGAGTTTGTTTCTCTCCACTTTATCAGAGAGATTTCACAAATTAATGTGTTTAACCACTTTTTAGTTGAATTTTCTTTTACAAATATTTTATTGATTTTTTATGTAAGTGCAAATATTAAAATAACAACAACAAAAACCTAATGGGGTGTTTCCTATCTGTAGGTGTCCTCTAGTGATGAACTGATGCAAGTTTTTTCCGTCCAGATGAGGGCGCCACTGTCACCCACTCAAGACTCTTGCAGCAGTCAGCCAGGTTAGTGAAAAACGGAAAGAGTCCAGGCTTGGGAAATTACCTTTGGTTCTAAGTATTATAATGAGATTATTTAATGTTTACTCTGCATAATAATGATAAGAATAATAACAATTATAATAATGATAAGAATAAGAATACCGTAACCATAATCATAATAATCATAAATATAATTATTATTACTATTATTATTATTATTCTATCTAAGAGCATTTTTGGTTTATCATACACAATGTCACATTATTCCCAGAAAACTATTATTTACTCACCATTTTGACCAGTGCTGGGTTTTTTGTTTTTCTTCCTAGAAAATGGGCCAGAATCTGATTTATTACCAGACCACTCATGTAAGTGGCCATAAATTATCTGACTAAACGACTGAGTTCCACTTTATCATATTATTATTTGTTTCTTTAAGATATGCCTCAGCCAAAGCTCTCCAGCGCTCAGATCATCTCCATGTTCGCCACACAACCAGTAGGGGGCTCTCCATATACCACTCCACCATATCCTCCTACTGCCATGCCGACTTTCCAGAGGCCCCCAGTGGCAAGCCATGGGATGGCGCCCTGGCCCACCACGTCTAACAGCATGGCAGTTTGGCCACCAGGAGGTTTTATAGCGCCGCCTATAGCGAATGGAATGATAAACATTCAACCAGGTGTCCTGTGGGGAGGAGTTTCACCCACTGATGTCAATGGGCTCTCCAACTCTGTAAACACTGTTAATACCTCAACTGCACCACCAGGGGGCTTCGTATCAGAGTCTCCAAGTTTAAACGCAAATCTTCTCCTGTGATAAAAACCGCGATGTTTAGATCGACCAGCGTCCTTAAACTTCATCCAACATCGAACCAATGATTTTTATCGTGCAGCAGATTGAAAGAACAAAACTTTCAAATTTTACGTATAGAGATTTAATCAAATTATGCCACTTCTTAAAATCTGTTTTTCGTGTTTCTTTGCATGAACACATTTTTCTCAATAAAACACAACTATCTTGGAATAAAAAAAACATTTAAGTAATAATAATAAAAACAGAAACAGTTCTATAAATTTTACAATCATTCTTTTATTTACATTAACAGAAAAAGTTGTTTTCTATGACAGCTAAAAATTGGTTTTAGTGACAACACCAGGTGAACGATGATGCTAACTTCAGACAAAATAAGACAGGAAGTGGGTTTTTTTTATCCTACCAAAACCAACGCGTTCCAACAATGGCAGCGCTGTAGCTTAGACAGCAGTTTCCTGTCTCAGTGTGTGACATGTTGTGAAGCCGTCTCCTGACCAGATTGTTGAACTTGGAAGACGTCAGACTGGTGTAAACACCACCAACATGGTAAGAACATCAGATTCGCCACATTTTTCCCTTGATCTTTAAAAAAAGCTCCCCTCTGTTTTCTGTACGAGCTTTTCTGGCTTTTTCTACCATGATACACTTTGACCCTATATTTAAAAATGTATCGTGAGATCTTAAACACCAAACTCAAGTGTAGAGTAAACGATTATTATCATTTTAAACAATGGTACATTCCAAAGAATTAGAACAAA